GTGGAATGGCCCTAGTTTAGGAGCCTTGCAAAGTTCACAAATATACATGGTCGATTTGATAGATACAAGACAGCGAAGTCGGATATTGCACAAGTGCTGGAGCTAGTTCAGAGTGTTAGCACAGGAAGCCTGAGTTGGACTGTCCTTTGGGCTGGGGGGAGGTCCTTATAAGGTCAGCTAGCATGCTGCCAGATGTACGATTCTGCTTAAATTGCTGTACGACATTTGGGCTGCTGTTATACTTTGCACTTATTACAGAATAATAATTACAGTCATGGATGATAAAATGTATATTCTTAAACCTCTGATTAGGTTAGGTGGGGATGGTTAGTCTAGTCATTTTTGAATAATAACATCAAATAAGTACATATACAGGTAGGACGCCAAAGGTCGCATTGGTTATCTGGTGACGTCATACATAGTTGACCAGTCAGGTGCTGTAATACCTTCACACCTATATGCTAATGACCATCAATACCTTATCCCTATACCTGAGGTCGCTTTTCACGATGTCACTAAACAACAACAATAACTGTTCTGTAGAATGTATTTGTTTGTTATATATAATATGTTAGGTTAGGTTAGGTTAGGATGGTTTGATCGGGTTTATGAATAACAGAAAATATAAGCAATGAGCGAAAATACGAGCTATTGTAGCTGAATATCGACTCTGATGAAGCACAGAGTACAGTTGAGGTATTAAGCTAGATTAAGAGTTCACACTTATGTGTGAACCTCCTGGGATCCGCATTTAGCCCGTTGGCGCCTCGCGCCACATTAGGGATGATGACGTCAGAAAGAAGGTAACTGCAGAAGGCCTTATTTCAAAACATGAGAGGCTTGCTTTTACTGAATGAGTATTTTTGATTTGTTATATGCTACAGTAAGGTGTGGGAGGTATGTTTTGAGATGCGTATGTGAGACGTGTATACGGTTAGGGAGCAATATTGGATTACTACTGAACTCGCATTGAAATCACCAATGCCCAGGGCTCTTTTTTCATATAAATGACTGATAGCGGTTTTCATTTTTATTTTGCCCTATGTATAATAAATGATCCTTCAAGAAAGATTGTCAAAGCTCAAATTACATTCTCTAGAAAGACGAAGAAGAAATAGGGGTGACATGATAGAGGTGTGACTGAATGGTCATAGTAAAGGGGGATATTAATAACCTATTAAACGTATCAACATGAAACAGAATAGGAATGAATTGGATAAGTTTTAGATTTAGGAAAAAGACCTGGGTAAATACTGGTTCTGTAAACAGGGTTTGAACTCATTTCTTATGTTATTATTATGTAATCTTAGCTATAAAATGATCTTAGACAATGGGAAACCGTATGGTAATACCTAATTGTGAAAAAACGAGCTTATAATGATTAACGCCATTGCACATTAGGCTTGACAGAAGGCAGCATTTGAATCCCCCTTTGCTATAAATATTGAAAATGGGAATAATTACACTATAACAGAAAACGGACTAATACAGGAAAGATGAAGACGGGGGTGACGTCATTGACCATTAGCAATGTCTGTGCATGGCCCACTGGGGTAACGAAAAACAGGTACGCCAGAACGTGTCCCATCAAAACTGTAACGAAAAACAGGTACGCCAGAACGTGTCCCATCAAAACTGTAACGAAAAACAGGTACGCCAGAACGTGTCCCATCAAAACTGTAACGAAAAACAGGTACGCCAGAACGTGTCCCATCAAAACTGTAACGAAAAACAGGTACGCCAGAACGTGTCCCATCAAAACTGTAACGAAAAACAGGTACGCCAGAACGTGTCCCATCAAAACTGTAACGAAAAACAGGTACGCCAGAACGTGTCCCATCAAAACTGTAACGAAAAACAGGTACGCCAGAACGTGTCCCATCAAAACTGTAACGAAAAACAGGTACGCCAGAACGTGTCCCATCAAAACTGTAACGAAAAACAGGTACGCCAGAACGTGTCCCATCAAAACTGTAACGAAAAACAGGTACGCCAGAACGTGTCCCATCAAAACTGTAACGAAAAACAGGTACGCCAGAACGTGTCCCATCAAAACTGTAACGAAAAACAGGTACGCCAGAACGTGTCCCATCAAAACTGTAACGAAAAACAGGTACGCCAGAACGTGTCCCATCAAAACTGTAACGAAAAACAGGTACGCCAGAACGTGTCCCATCAAAACTGTAACGAAAAACAGGTACGCCAGAACGTGTCCCATCAAAACTGTAACGAAAAACAGGTACGCCAGAACGTGTCCCATCAAAACTGTAACGAAAAACAGGTACGCCAGAACGTGTCCCATCAAAACTGTAACGAAAAACAGGTACGCCAGAACGTGTCCCATCAAAACTGTAACGAAAAACAGGTACGCCAGAACGTGTCCCTCGAAAAAAGCAAAACGGACACGCGTAGGCGTACTTTCCACTACTCTCCCCCACCCTAAGTTTCTTCACTGTTGTCTTCCTCATGATGTGACTGTGTTGTAGTTTTGGTTTGGTCTTGGCTTTGTTAGCAATATCATTTTCATACCTTTTCTCAGCTGCTCTTCTCACACTAACATACTCGATCCTGGTTCTCTGGTATCTCTCTACTTTCAGGTGTTCTGTTATTACGGAAGTTCCTCCAAGCCCTTTTGTTCAGCTCCTTTGCTTTCATACATTCCCTAGTAAACCACGGATTCTTCTTTTGCTTCTGTTTTTTCAAAAACAGAGAAGCATGTGCATGTGGGGGCCTGTATGTGGGGACTAGCATGTGGTGGGTGTTTGCATGTGGAGGCTTGCATGTGGGGGTATGTATGTGGGGGCTTGCATGTGGGGGTATGCATGTGAGGGCTTGCATGTGGGGGTATGCATGTAGGGGCTTGCATGTGGGAACTTTCATGTGGAGGTTGTAAGTGGGGGCTTGCATGTTGGGGCTTGCATTTGGAGGCTTGCATGTGAGGGCTTGCATGTATGGGCGTGCATGTGCAGGTTGTGTGTGGGGGCTTGCATGTGGAGATTGCAAGTGGAGGTTTTATGTGGGGGCTTGCATGTAGGGGCTTGCATGTGGCGGCTTGCGTGTGGGGGATTGCGTGTGGGGGCTTGCATGTGGTCACTTCCATGTAGGCACTTGCATGTGGGCAGTTGCATATGGGCATTTATGTGGGAGCTTGTATGTAGGGGCTTTCACGTAGGGGTTTGCGCACGTGGGCACTTGCATGTTGGTGCATGCATGTGGGGGGGGACTTACATGTGGGGGACTTGCATGTGGGGGTTTGCGTGTAGGGGGGCCTGCATGTGGGCACTTGCATGTGGGTACTTGCAAGCCTCCACATGCATGTGAGGGTTTGCATGTGGGGGCTTACATGTGGGCACTTTCATATGGGGGCTTGCATGTGGGCACTTGCATGTGGGCACTTGCATGTGGGGGCTTGCATGTGGAGACTTGCATGTGGGGTCTTGGATGTGGGGGGCTTGCATGTGGGGCTTGCATGTGGAGACTTGCATGTGGGGTCTTGGGTGTGGGGGGCTTGCATGTGGGGGCTTTCATGTGGAGGCTTGCGTGTGGGGCTTTCATGCGGGGGCTTGCATGAGGGCACTTGCAAGTGGGCACTTGCATGAGGGTACTTGTATGTGGCGGCATGCATGTGGGGGCTTGCATGTGAAGGTTGCATGTGGGCACTTGCATGAGGGTACTTGCATGCCCCCACATACATGTGGCAGCTTGCATGTGAAGGTTGTATGTGTGAGCTTGCATGTGGGGGGCTTGCATGTGGGGGGGCTTGCATGTGGAGGTTGTATGTAAGGGCTTGCATGTGGTGGTTGCATTGGACCAACATTTTATGTTGGGGCTTGCATGACGGGGCTTGCAAGTGGAGGTTGAATGTGGAGGTTTGCATGTGGGCACTTGCATATGGAGGCTTGCATGTGGCGGCTTCCATGTGGAGGCTTGCATGTGGCGGCTTACATGTGGAGGATAGCATGTGGGGGCTTGCATGGGGGGGGGACTTGCATGGTGGGGTTTGCATGTGGAGGCTTGCATGTGGAGGTTGCATGTGGGAGCTTGCATGTGGGGGGGGGGGCTTACATGTAGGTGCTTGCATGTGGAGGTTGCATCGGTGGGCTTGCATGTGGAGGTTGCATTTAGGGGCTTGCATGTGGGGGCTTGCATGTGGGGGCTTGCATGTGGGGGCTTGCATGTGGGGGCTTGCATGTGGGGGCTTGCATGTTGGGGCTTGCATGTGGGGGCTTGCATGTGGGGGCTTGCATGTGGGGGCTTGCATGAGGGGGCTTGCATGAGGGGGCTTGCATGTGGGGGCTGCATGTGGAGGCTTGCATGTGGGGCTTGCATGTAGGAGCTTGTATGTAGGGGGGCTTCCATGTGGGGGGCTTCCATGTGGGGGGGCTTCCATGTGGGGGTTCCGTGTGGGGCTCGCATGTGGAGGTTGAATGTAGGGGTTTGCGTGTGGGAGCTTGCATGTGGGGGCTTGCATGTGGAGGTTGTATGTGGGAGCTTGCATGTGAGGGCGTGCATGTGAGTGTTGAACGTTGGGCTTGCATGTGGAGGTTGCTTGTGGGGGCTCGAATGTGGGGTTGCATGTGCAGGCTTGTATTTGGGGGCTTACATTAGAGGGTTGCATGTAGGGGCTTGCATGTGGGAGCTTGCATGTGGGGGCTTGCATGTGGAGGTTGCATTTAGGGGCTTGCATGTGGTGGTTTATGTGTGGGCCTGCATGTGGTGGTTGCCTGTGTGGGTTTCCATGTGGGGGTTTGCATGTGGGGTCTTGTATGTGGGCACATGCATGTGTAGGCTTGTATGTAGGCACTTGTATGTGGAGGCTTGCATTTGGAGGCTTGCATGTTGGGGCTAGCATGTGGGATCTTGCATGGGAAGCTTGCATGTTGGGGGCTCGCATGTGGAGGTTGCAAGTGGAGTTGAATGTGGGGGTTTGCATGTGGGTGCTTGCATGTGGGGTTTTGCGTGTGGGAGCTTGAATGTGGGGGGCTTGCAAGCCTCCACGTTTAAGCCTCCACATGCATGAGAGGGTTTGCATGTGGGGGCTTGAATGTGGAGGCTTGCATGTGGGGCACTTGCATGTGGGGCACTTGCATGTGGGGGCTTGCATGTGGGAGCTTGCATGTGGAGGTTGCATGTGGGGGGGGCTTGCATATGGAGGTTGCATGTGGAGGCTTGCATGGGAGGGCTTGCATGTGGGGGCTTGCATGTGGGGGCTTGCATGTAGGGGCTTGCATGTGGAGGCTTAAAAGTGGGCACTTGCTTGTGGGGGCTTGCATGTGGGAGCTTGCATGTGGGAGCTTGCATGTGGAGGTTGCATGTGGGGGGCTTGCATGTGGAGGCTTGCATGGCAGGGCTTGCATGTGGGAGCTTGCATGTGGGGGGCTTACATGTAGGGGCATGCATGTAGGGTCTTGCATGTGGAGTTGCATTTAGGGGTTGTATATGAGGGGCTTGCATGTGGAGTTGCATTTAGGGGTTGTATATGGGGGGCTTGCAAGTGGGGGGCTTGCATGTGGGGGGGCTTGCATGTGGAGGTTGCATGTGGGGGCTTGCATGTGGGGGCTTGCATGTGGGGGCATGCATGTGGGGGCTTGCATGAGGGGGCTTGCATGTGGAGGTTGTATGTGGGGCTTGCATTTGGGGGGGCTAGCATGTGAGGGCCTGCATGTGGGGGCTTGCATGTGGGGGCTTAAATGTTGGGCTTGCATGTGGAGGTTGCATGTGGGGGCTTGCATGTGTGGGCTTGCATTTGAACGTTGAATGTTGGGCTTGCATGTGGAGGATTGCATTTGGGGGCTTGCATGTGGAGGATGCATGTGGGGGGCTTGCATATGGAGGTTGCATGTGGGGGCTTGCATATGGAGGTTGCATGTGGCGGCTAACATGTGGGGGGGGACTTGCATGTGGGAGATTGCATGTGGAGGTTGCATTTAAGGGCTTGCATATGAGAGCTTGCATGTGGTGGTTGTATGTGTGGGCTTGTATGTGGGCACTTGCATGTGTAGGCTTGCATGTAGGCACTTGTGGAGGCTTGAATGTGGGGGCTTACAAGTGGGGGGGGGGATTGCATGTGCGGGCTTGCATGTGGGCATTTGCATGTCGTGGCCTCCATATTGGGGCTTGCATGTGAGCACTTGCATGTTCAGGCTTGCATGTGGGCACTTGCATGTGGGGGCGTGCATGTGGGCAATTTCATGTTGGGGCTTGCACGTGGAGGTTGAATCCGTTTGGTCTGCATGTGGGGGCTTGCATGTGGAGGTTGCATGTGGGGGGCTTGCATTTGGGGGGCTTGCATGTGAGGGCTTGCATGAGGAAGTTGTATGTAGTTGCTTGCCTGTGGGTTGACTTGCATGTGGGGGTGTGCGGGGGGGAGCTTGCATGTGGGGGCTTGCATGTGGAGGATGCATGTTGGGGTTTGCATATGTAGGTTGCATGTGGAGGGCTTACATGAGGGGGCTTGCATGTGGGAGATTGCATGTGTTATACTCAAATTCTGTCAGTTGAAATGTAACCAATCACAGGCAAGTAGACCTCTGACGTCATGCCAGACAGAGGAGCATCAAGCCATGCTCCCAGCAGCCTCAGTTCTCTCTCAGACCCAGAGTAAGGTGGACCTCGGTTGGCCAGATATATACCTTGTTGTCTCGGTCAATAAATATATACAGAGGCGACTACTGTGTCTACATTCAACCCGAACAAGGCAAACGAATACATGTGGAGGTTGCATTTAAGGGCTTGCATGTGGGAGCTTACATGTGGTGGTTGTATGTGTGGTCTTGCATGTCAGGGTTTGCAAGTGGGGGCTTGTATGTGGGCACTTGAATGTGTAGGCTTACATGTGGAGGTTGCATGTTGTGGGCTTACATGTGGAGGTTGCACGTTGTGGGCTTGCATGTGGGTTCTTGCGTTTTGGGGGCTTGCATGTGGGGGTTTGCATGTGAAGGCTTGCATGTGAGGGCTTGGACGTGGGGACCTGCATGTGGAAGTTGTATGTGGTTGCTTAATTGCCTGTTGGGAACTTGCATGTAGAGGTGTGCGTGTGGGGGGCTTGCATTCTGGGGGACTTGCCTGTAGGGGGACTTGCGTGTGGAGGTTGTATGTGGGAGGCTTGCATGTGGGGACTTGCATGTAGGAGGCTTCCATGTGGGTGCTTGCATGTGGAGGTTGCATGAATGGGGCTTGCACGTGCAGGTTAAATGTGGGGGTTTGCATGTGGGGGCTTGCATGTATGGGGCTTGCATGTGGAGGTTGCATGTGGGGGAATGCATGTGAGGGTTTCATGTGGGGGTTTACATGAGGGTTGCAGGAAGGGGCTTGCATGTGGGGACTTGCATGTAAGGGCTTGTGTTTGGGGGCTTGTGTTTGGGGACTTGCATGTGGGGCTTGCATGTGAGCACTTGCTTTTGGGGGCTTGCATGTGGGCACTTGCGTGTTGGGGCTTGCATGTGGGAACTTGCATGTGGAGGTTGCGTGTGGGAGCTTGCGTGTGGGGGCTTGCATGTGGATGTTGCATTTGGGGGCTTGCATTTGGGGGCTTGCAGGTGCAGGTTGCAGTTAGGGGCTTGCATATGGGGGCTTGCATTTTGGGGGGCTTGCATGTGGGCACTTGCATGTGAGGGCCTCTACGTTGGGGCTTGCATGTGGGCACTTGAATGTGTAGGCTTGCATGTGGGGGCTTGCATGTGGAGGCTGAATCCGGTTGGCCTGCATGTGGGGGCTTGTATGTGGATTTTGCATGTTGTGGGCTTTCTTGTGGAGGTTGCATTTGGGGGCTTGCATGTGGGGGCTTGCATTTAAGGGGCTTGGTTGTTCAGGTTGCATTTGGGGTCTTGCATGTGGGGGCTTGCATATTGGGGGCTTGCATGTGGGGGCTTGCATGTGGAGGCTTGCATGTAGAGGCTTGCACGTGGGGACTTGCATGTGGAAGTTGTATGTGGTTGCTTGCCTGTGGGGAACTTGCATGTAGGGGTGTGCGGGTGGGAGTTTGCATGTGGGGGGCTTGCATGAGGAGCTTGCATGTGGGGGGAACTGCGTGTGGAGGTTGTATGTGGGAGGCTTGAACGTGGGAGGCTTGCATGTGGTGAGCTTTAATGTGGAGGTTGCATGTGGGAACTTGCATGTGGGGGCTTTCATGTGGATGTTGCATTTGGGGGCTTGCATTTGGGGGCTTGCATGTGCAGGTTGCAAGTGGGGGGCTTGCAAGTGGGGGGGCTTGCAAGTGGGGGTTTGCATGTGGGAGCTTGCATGTGGGAGCTTGCATGTAGGGGCATTCATGTGGGGACTTGCATGTGGAGGGCTTGCATGCGGGGGGCTTGCATGTGGAGGCTTGCATGTGGGGGCTTGCTTGTGGGGGCTTGCTTGTGGGGGCTGACATATGAAGGTTGCATGTGGTGATCTTGCATGTGGGAGCTTGCGTGTGGAGGTTGCACGTGGGGCTTGCATGTGGGAGCTTGCATGTGGTGGGCTTGCATGTGGTGGGCTTGCATGTGGTGGGCTTGCATGTGGGGGGTTGCATGTGGGCACTTGGATATGGGGGCTTGCATGTGGACACTTCCATGTGGGGGGGCCTGCATGTAGGGGCATGCATGTGGGGGGCTTGAATGTGTAATCTTGCATGTGGAGGCTTGCATGTGGGCACTTGCATGTGGAGGCTTGCATGTTGGGGCTTGCATGTGGTGGGCTTGCATGTGTGGGGCTTGCATAAGGGGGCTTGCATGTGGGCACTTGGATATGGGGGCTTGCATGTGGACGCTTCCATGTGGGGGGCCTGCATGTAGGGGCATGCATGTGGGGGGCTTGAATGTGTAATCTTGCATGTGGAGGCTTGCATGTGGGCACTTGCATGTGGAGGCTTGCATGTTGGGGCTTGCATGTGGGGGCTTGCATGTGGGCACTTGCATGTGTGGGGCCTGCATGTGTAGGCTTGTATGTGGGCACTTTCAAGCCCCCACATGCCTGTGGGGCTTGCATGTGGGCACTTGCATGTACTGGGTTTGCATGTGTGTGCTTGCATGTGGGTACTTCCATTTGGAAGCTTGCATGTTGGGGATGGCATGTGGGGGCTTGCATGTGAGGGCTTGCATGTAGGCACTTGCATTTAGGCACTTGCATGTGGGGGCTTGTATGTGGGGTCTTGCATGTGAGCACTTGCATATGGGGGGCTTGCATGTGGGGTCTTGCATTTGGGGGCATGCATATGGGGGCTTGCATGTAGACGATGTATGTGGGTTCTTGCATGTGGGAGCTTGCATGTTGAGGTTGTATGTAAGGGCTTGCATGTGGGGGCTTGCAAGCCCCCACATACAACCCTTGCATACAACCTCCACATGCAAGCCCCCACATGCATGTGGGGCTTGCATGTAGGGGTCTTGGATGTGGGAGCTTGTATGTGGGAGCTTGCATGTGGGGGCTTGCATGTTGGGGCTTGCATATAGAGGTTTAATGTGGAGGTTCCAAGTGGAGGTTTTATATGGGGGCTTACATGTTGGGGCTTGCATGTGGAGGCTTGCATATAGGGGGCTTGCATGTGGGCACTTGCATGTAGGGAGCTTGCATGTGGGGGCTTGCATGTGGAGGTAGCATTTGGGTGCTTACATTTGGGGGTCTTGCAAGTGGGGGGCTTGCATGTGGGAGCTTGCATGTGGAGGTTGCATATGGGGGCTTGCATATGAAGGTTGCATGTGGTGATCTTGCATGTGGGGGCTTGCATGTGGGAGCTTGCGTGTGGAGGTTGCACATGGGGCTTGCATGTGGGGGCTAGCATGTGGGGGCTTGCATGTGGGGGCTTGCATGTAGGAGCTTGCATGTGGTGGATTTGCATGTGGAGGTTGCATGTGGGCACTTGTATGTAGGCACTTGCATGTGGGGGGGCTTTCATGTGGATGTTGCATTTGGGGGCTTGCATTTGGGGGCTTGTATGTGAGGGCTTCCACGTTGGGGCTTGCATGTGGGCACTTGAATGTGTTGGCTTTCATGTGGGGGCTTGCATGTGGGAGCTTGCATGTGGGGGGCTTGCATGTTTGGGGCTTGCATGTGGAGGTTGAATCCGGTTGGCCTACATGTGGGGCTTGTATGTGGAGGTTGCATGTTGTGGGCTTACATGTGGAGGTTGCATTTGGGGGCGTGCATGTGGGGGCTTGCATGTGGGGGACTAGCATGTGGGGGTCTTGAATGTAGAGGCTTGCATGTGGAAGCTTGCACGTCGGGTCTTCCATGTGGGGGGCTTGCATGAAGGGGGAGGGGTGCGGGTGGGAGTTTGCATGTGGGGGCTTTCATGAGGGAGCTTGCATGTGGGGGCATGCATATCGGGGGATTGCATTTGGGGGGAATTGCGTGTGGAGGTTGTATGTGGGAGCATGCAAGCCTCCACATGCAAGCCTCCACTTGCAAGCCTCCACATGCATGTGCCCACATGCAGGCCTCCACATGCATGTGCCCACATGCAGGCCTCCACGTGCAAGCCCCCCACATGCAGGCCTCCACGTGCAAGCCCCCCACATGCAGGCCTCCACGTGAAAGCCCCCCACATGCAGGCCTCCACGTGCAAGCCCCCCACATGCAGGCCTCCACGTGCAAGCCCTCCACATGCAGGCCTCCACGTGCAAGCCCCCCACATGCAGGCCTCCACGTGCAAGCCCCCCACATGCAGGCCTCCACGTGCAAGCCCCCCACATGCAGGCCTCCACGTGCAAGCCCCCCACATGCAGGCCTCCACGTGCAAGCCCCCCACATGCAGGCCTCCACGTGCAAGCCCCCCACATGCAGGCCTCCACGTGCAAGCCCCCCACATGCAGGCCTCCACGTGCAAGCTCCCCACATGCAGGCCTCCACGTGCAAGCCCCCCACATGCAGGCCTCCACGTGCAAGCCCCCCACATGCAGGCTTCCACGTGCAAGCCCCCCACATGCAGGCCTCCACGTGCAAGCCCCCCACATGCAGGCCTACACGTGCAAGCCCCCCACATGCAGACCTCCACGTGCAAGCCCCCCACATGCAGGCCTCCACGTGCAAGCCTCCCACATGCAGGCCTACACGTGCAAGCCCCCCACATGCAGGCCTACACGTGCAAGCCCCCCACATGCATGACTCCACATGCAAGCCCCCCCACATGGAAGTGCCCACATGCATGACTCCACATGCAAGCCCCCCCACATGGAAGTGCCCACATGCATGACTCCACATGCAAGCCCACCCCCCACATGGAAGTGCTCACATGCATGACTCCACATGCAAGCCCCCCCCACATGGAAGTGCCCACATGCATGACTCCACATGCAAGCCCCCCCCACATTGAAGTGCCCACATGCATGACTCCACATGCAAGCCCCCCCCCCCACATGGAAGTGCCCACATGCATGACTCCACATGCAAGCCCCCCCCCACATGGAAGTGCCCACATGCATGACTCCACATGCAAGCCCCCCCCACATGGAAGTGCCCACATGCATGACTCCACATGCAAGCCCCCCCCCCCACATGGAAGTGCCCACATGCATGACTCCACATGCAAGCCCCCCCCCCCACATGGAAGTGCCCACATGCATGACTCCACATGCAAGCCCCCCCACATGGAAGTGCCCACATGCATGACTCCACATGCAAGCCCCCCCCCCACATGGAAGTGCCCACATGCATGACTCCACATGCAAGCCCCCCCCCCCTCATGGAAGTGCCCACATGCATGACTCCACATGCAAGCCCCCCCCACATGGAAGTGCCCACATGCATGACTCCACATGCAAGCCCCCCCCACATTGAAGTGCCCACATGCATGACTCCACATGCAAGCCCCCCCCCACATGGAAGTGCCCACATGCATGACTCCACATGCAAGCCCCCCCCACATGGAAGTGCCCACATGCATGACTCCACATGCAAGCCCCCCCCACATGGAAGTGCCCACATGCATGACTCCACATGCAAGCCCCCCCCCACATGGAAGTGCCCACATGCATGACTCCACATGCAAGCCCCCCCCCACATGGAAGTGCCCACATGCATGACTCCACATGCAAGCCCCCCCACATGGAAGTGCCCACATGCATGACTCCACATGCAAGCCCCTTCCCCACATGGAAGTGCCCACATGCATGACTCCACATGCAAGCCCCCCCCCACATGGAAGTGCCCACATGCATGACTCCACATGCAAGCCCCCCCCACAGGGAAGTGCCCACATGCATGACTCCACATGCAAGCCCCCCCCCCACATGGAAGTGCCCACATGCATGACTCCACATGCAAGCCCCGCCACATGGAAGTGCCCACATGCATGACTCCACATGCAAGCCCCCCCACATGGAAGTGCCCACATGCATGACTCCACATGCAAGCCCCCCACTTGGAAGTGCCCACATGCATGACTCCACATGCAAGCCCCCCCACATGGAAGTGCCCACATGCATGACTCCACATGCAAGCCCCCCACATGGAAGTGCCCACATGCATGACTCCACATGCAAGCCCCCCCACATGGAAGTGCCCACATGCATGACTCCACATGCAAGCCCCCCATATTCAAGTGCCCACATGCAAGCCCCACATGCAAGCCCCACATGCAAGCCCCAACATGCATGCCCCCTACATGCAAGCCCCCACATACAAGCCTCCACATGCAAGAGCCGACATGCAAGCCCCTACACGCAAGCCCCCCCCCCCACTTGCAAGCCCCCCAAATCCAAGCCCCCAATTGCAACCTACACATGCAAGCCCCCAAATGCAAGCCCCCACTTGCAAGTGCCCACATGCAACCTTCACATGCAAGCCCATCACATGCAAGCTCCCACTTTCATGTGGTGGGCTTGTATGTGGAGGTTGCATGTGGGCACTAGCAAGTGTGGGCTTTCATGTGGATGTTGCATTTGGGAGCTTGCATGTGCAGGTTGCAATTGGGGGCTTGGATTTGGGGGATTGCAAGTGGGGGTTTGCATGTGGGGGCTTGCATGTCGGCACTTGCATGTGGAAGCTTGTATGTGGGGGGGGGCTTGCATGTAGGGGGTATGCATGTTGGGGCTTGCATGTGGGCACTTGCATGTGAGGGCTTGCATGTTGGCACTTGCATGTGGGGGCTTGCATGTGGGGGCTTGCATGAGGAGGCTTACATGCGGGGCTTGCATGCGGGGCTTGCATGTGGGGGGCTTGCATGTGGGGGCTTGCATGTGGGGGCTTGCGTGTGGGCACTTGGATATGTTTGCTTGCATGTGGGGGCTTGCATGTAGACGCTTGTATGTGGGGACTTGCATGTGGGTGCTTCCATTTGGAGGCTTGCATGTTGGGGATGGCATGTGGTGGCTTGCATGTGGGGGCATGTATGTGAGGGCTTTCATGTGGAGGTTGTATGTGGGGTCTTGCATGTGGGCCCACTTGCATGTGGGGGGGCTTGCATGTGGGCCCACTTGCATGTGGGGGGGCTTGCATGTGGGGCCTTGCATTTGGGGGGCATGCATATGGGGGCTTGCATGTAGAAGTTGTATGTGGGTTCTTGCATGTGGGAGCTTGCATGTGGAGGTTTTATGTGAGGGCTTGCATGTGGGGACATGCAAGCCCTGTCATACAACCTCCACATGCAAGCCCACACATGCATGTGGGGCTTGCATGTAGGGGTCTTGGATGTGGGAGCTTGCATTTGGAGGTTGTACGTGGGGGCTTGCACGTAGGGGGCTTGCATGTGGAGGTTATACGTAAGTGGTATTAAATTTTTTAAATTTTGCCCCGAGGGGCGAGTTTATTGGGCAGCGCCACTCATCTTGTGAGTGAACATACCGCCATAGCAGAATGTACAACACTCCCCAATAGGAAGAAAACCCGCTGGGTTGTTCATCCTGTCACTTGTACCCAGACACAGCTGGGACTTGCTTAACTGTCTCAAGTGAACAGCTCCTCAAACAAGAAGATTAACATTTATCAACCCTTAAAAGCTTACGTTATCTTGCGGGTGCAAAATGGGGAAATCTTTTAAGAACAGTATCAATATTTGACAAATAGTGTTTTCCTAACTCAAACAATGTGGGGTTTATTATTCTACAGTTATTCCTAATGTCTCTCAGGTGTTCACATTCACGTAGATAGTGGTCAAGGCGGTGTCCATCACTCTCACCACAGATTCTGCAACTTCGCTGATCAACTGTTGTTTCCATTCCAAATCTCCATGGATATTTGTATCCAAGACGGATTCTCGCTATTACAGATTCTCTCCCTCGTCGTCCTCCTCTTCGGCCATACTGATTGGGATTGCCAGCTGCAACCATGTTGTACCATCGTACAGATTCACTGGTTTGTGCTTCTATCCTCCTTTCCTCAGTTACCTTGTCACGGTGATGTTGCCTGATAATACCTCTAATTTGTAGTTGAGTCTTGGGTATGAAGTATTCAATATGGTCTCCTTCAGCGCCTTCAGCAGCCAGCACATCTGCTCGTTCATTCCCACATATTCCAACATGGGAGGGGATCCACAGAAACTTGATGACTCTTCCCTGATTGGTAAGTACTCTCACAGCTCTCTTGATTTCAGCGACTATTGCAAGATTTTCTGCCTGATTTTTACTTAGGCTTTGCAGTGCTGCTTTTGAATCGGTGCAAATCACTGCACCATTAGTGTTCCGTTCAAGAAACCTTAACGCCATAACAATGGCAGTTAGCTCTGCTTGCGTTGAAGAGGCATAGTTCTCAATACGTGCTTTTTCTTCATTTCTGCGTTGGAAGGTATTATCCTTGATTACCGTGTATGCTGCACCAGCCCTGCCATTGATAGGATTAGATGACCCGTCAGTGTAGATTTGATCTAGTTCATCTCCGGCTTCTTTATAAATGTCCTCGAGATACTTGTGCCTCATTTCTTGTGGTATCATGTTGGATTTTTTCATTGCCATTTCATTGATGATGATCTTGCATGAGTCATCCTCCCAGGGAGGTAACCTCTCTACAGGCAGGAGCTCACGGGCTTGCTCAAGCAGGTGAAGCTCTTCAAGGTAGCAGACTGCTCTGTGATGCCATTTTTTGCTTCTCCTGTTTCCCCCTGAAAGTAGCACAGAGCTCAGTTTTTTCTTGGCAATATCATTGTAATGGGGATCTCTGGCTATCCTAATTGCAAGCTTAGCATTCAGCTCCTGAATTCTGCTTTTAATACTGGGAAGGGACAACTCCTCTCGTAGATTAGACGTTTTGGCAGTTCTTGGGACTCCAAGAATGATTGTCATGGCTTCATTTTGAATGCTTT